AATTTTTGTCCACATAGTGTATATTTGTTGTTGGTTATCAACCTTTCTATATTTTCCTAGAAATTGTAGATTTCTTGTATATTATTCGAAATAATTTTGTTAGGGAATGTACTACATGATTTAGTTGGTTTTATTGGTTATTATTTGCTCTATTTGTAGATGTTAGTTTCATTTTCTGTGAACAAATTGTATATATTATATCTAGTTGTTAGTTTCTACTTTCTTGCTCTAAACATAATTTTGTTAGTGCATTTGTAGCTTCAATATACTTCAGTTGTTATATATGTTTACTAATTTTGTAACTTATTTGTATGCAATATATTAATGTCTTTCTGGTTGTAGCTACATTGTAGTATAATTGTTATTATTTTATTTTTTGGTATTTAAACATGTTTTAGTAACTTATTGTTTCGTTTGGTGCAAAATAGAATTTTTTTTGCACCACATAATGTTGATTATGGCATCACTAGGTTCCACACATTATCCGACCCTTCCGTTTTTGCCCAAATCAAGGTGTTATTATCTAAAACTGGGTTAAACTTGTTTAAGAAGACATGTTTTGGGCACTTTCTTTGCATGCCCAAAATATGTATCCAAAATCAGGTAATTCACCTTCCCATGAAGTATGAATTGAATGCATTTGTTTTTTTTTTTTAACAGCATAGATAAAGGGTGAGAGGTTGAACTTTAGGTTGAGGGAGTTTTCCCCTATCACTGGCCTTAGATGTTTTACAGAAGTAACAAATTTTGGTTACACAACTAAGTATGACAGTAAAACAATGAGGAGTTATTTTCCGAATAAGGAAGAAGTTGAGAAGTCGTACTTGAAACAAATTGTAAACAGCCGTAGTTGGGTGAGTGATGAGGATGCAGTCAAGTTGTGTATTCTCTATCTGATAGAATTTTTCCTCTGTCCTTCAGAGAAATATAATGCTTTGATGGACTATTTTAGGTTCTATTTGGTAGACTCGAGACAGTATGCGAATTTCGCATGAGGTATTGAAGCTTATACATAATTGCTTCTGTTTGTTAGGCATAAGGTGAACTCTTCTGTGCATTTTTATCTCATTCTAAATTTTTCACTCGCTATGCAAATATAGTTGTATGAGTGTTGTTCTACAGTCAATACTTATATAGCTACAAGGGTTGGTAGTTTGATCCCTCGCATACTTAGCTGGATAGCTAGTAAAGACAAGATATGAATTTCTGCATTGGAAGAGAGGATGATCAAACCATCATGGATCAAGTAAACGTTTTTTCACTTATGTACAAACAATATAAATATAATTTATCTACACATTTTATACATATGATGACTAGGTCCCTCACATTTTTATTTCACTCAATTCACCAATATGATTGAAGTCCTAGAAGAGCTTTCTAACATGACTTTGCTAGACAATGTTGAATACATCCTTAAAGAAGCTAAAACATATGCCGAGTTTCCGAATGATGCTCCATCTCCATCTGGCAATAAGCATGCAATGGGAATAGATGACAAGAAAGATATTCTGAAATAACTAAAAAAAATTAAGAAAAGATGTTGATAAGGTAACAACTAATGATATTCCTAGCTGGTTTCTTTAATTCATGTTATGCAAATTATTTCTTTAACTCTATCTATTTTAATACATAGGTCGGTTCAGACCTTGGATTGTTCAAGAAAGAGGTATAACTAATTCTTGATTTTTAGTCTTCTTCATATATCTGTAAGCCTCTAATTTTCAGATACATTATAACCATTTTTTGTTCTTTAGGTTTTTCAAGAACTAGGTAGCATTCGACTACTACTCAATGATTCCATCAGGTCTGTGTTACATGCAATTAAAAGTCAACATGATACTAACATTGATGCTAAGGTTTCATTCAAAATATATTCATTTTGGACAATAATTTTTACTATGTTTATATTTATATTAACATTCATAAAGTATATAGCCTAACAAATCCTACTTGCAGTTTACTGGCAGTTCTGCGAAAAACGATGAGCATTACAAAGAAAATAACAAATAACAGTATTGTGGAAGTAGTGCTAAACCAGTGTTGGCCAGCAGCAGTAAAACAAGTATTTTAACAATTTTAACATAATTTTATGACAAATAATCTACATTATATTTACATTATATCTACATATAGCCTAAATTACCAACAAATAATCTAAATTGTATTTCGAATTACTGTCTTAGATACAAGACACATGCCTAGCATTCAAAATGAGGAGAATGTTCCTATATCATGCCATGTAGGTGTTGACTTATCTTCCCAATTTCAAGGGGCATTAGAGGAAGAAATTGCATGTATGATTTAATACATTATATCTACATATTTTACAATACATATTACATCTCAACTATAGGACATCATTTCAACGAATTAACTACAATTTATTTATAGTGATGTTGTTTACTATAAATGATCTATAATTTTATTAAGTTGTACGCATTTATTGTAAAAAAGAAAAAAACTATGCATGTGAACTCTCCAAAACAGGATGCAAAAGTTGGCATACAAGGAGAGCATATAAATGAGGAGAAGGAGACTATGCATTTACAATCTCCAATTCAAGAAGCAAATGTTATACAACAAGGAGACGATTGCAATAAAGATTTCAGTGGTATATTACAATATAATTGTAGGGAAAAAATAACAACTTTCATATAAGCTTTAGTTTTCCCAAAAGAACTGATGCAACTAATATATAATGTTGTTCTTTTGTTTTTAATTTTGTAGGTAAGCCAGCCGACTACATCAATGTAGGTGATTCAGACAATGACTCTATGTCTGAAAAAAGGACAATAGTAACACTTGATGATTTTGAGCTGCCAGAGAACTTCTCACAGATTGTTAAGTTCGGCGAGGTTAATGAAGATGAAACAACCCCTGTGCATCAAAAAAGAACAAAGGTTCTTGGAAAGCATGTCAGATCCCCATTTCTTTCTTATTTCAGTTCTAGGGGAAGCACTTCTGTTGGACCTCCTCCAATTTTTAATATTAAGCATCCATTTACTGGGGTTATTGGCGGCAATGTTGATCCTGACTTGTTGAAAAAATTCAATAAATGGTTATACTTAGGTACCGACACGGTTTCAAAGAGGTTAGATTTTATATTTTTTTTCTTCATATTATCAAGTGCATACAATTTATGGATTTTCAATTGAAACGACATAATAATTGTACTTGTTATGTCTTTAAATAAGAAGAAGGCGTTTTATACTTTAAAAAATAACCAGCTCAACCCGTAGTTTGATCTTGGAGTGGAGAAAGTTGATAAAAATGACTGAGTTTATACTTTGGCATATCCCGGGCAAATCCTCAACAATACGGTACACACATACTCTGGCAGAATTTAATGATTATCTGTAGTATTCTGTTATTTTAGATATCTATAGATTTTTTGTTTGAAAATTGTAGTTAAATTATATTCAGCATTGAGAAATAATGAAATCTTTTTTTTTTGCAACACATTGATATTATTTTATGCTATTTGAGGAAGAGAGGAAAGTACGGGCCTGAAAAAAAATACGATTTACAATCACTGAATGTATCCTCAAGACTAGAATTGAACAAATTTATGAGAGGTACATTAATGCTCTTGCTGTTAGGAAGCTTGTTGTTTTCAAACCCCAGGACGGTATCACAATACATATTGGGGTACCGATTACTTGCAAATATTGCATGGGACAAAGTTGATTTTGTTATTATGCCCATAAACATTGTGAAAAAATTTCATTGGTTGTTGGCTATGTTTGACATTACCGATAGGGTTCTATATGTTTATGATTCTATGGTCTCCTCACGAAATCACAAACTTGTTGAATCTGTTATCGACAAATTTGCTATTATGATCCCCCTCTACTTGTCATGCACCGACTTCTATGGCAAGCGTCCAAACATCAGCTACAAGAACATAAAGGCATACATTAAAAAATATGTTACCGACCTTCTTGAAATTCAGTGGTTGGTCGACGAGATACCCTTGTAAAAAGATGGATCGATGTATGTGTTGCTTTTCCTTCTATTTAACCAATTGTATTTTACATTAAATGCTAAATCTTTTCCCCTATTATTTTTTGCAGTGATTGTGGTGTATACATGATGACATTTGCAGAATATGTCAGCATTTGAGATATATCGATTTCAAAGGAAGACATGTTGACCGTAGACGCTATGGAGCGCTCCTTTGGGATTATGCTAGGAAAAATCAAGAGTTTGTTATAATTAGTGAAAGTGAGGTGACTGACAAATCAGCAAGAAGAAAAGGCGCACCAGCTGTGAAGGAGATAACACGAATCCGGAACAAAAAGAGTTAGTTTCCCTTTTCAGTAGAAAAATTACAGTTAAAGTGTTTAGTTGTAGCTGGATTGTAGTAAAGTTGTAGAAAAATTATTTATTGAGAACAAGTCACCTATAATTTATCTGTAGCAGATTTGTGCTACAGTTGTTTTACCTTTTGTTTTGTTATTTTATCCAGAATTCTACTACTTAGGATAGAAAACATTTGTGGCATTTTTATTGGTTGAAAGTTGTTAGTACTTGATCTCGATATTGGTACGATATAATTTTTTTACAGCATAACTACAACTATGTCTACAACTACTATACAAAAATACATAATATATTCAATTTTAGTAATGTTGTTAGGAAAGACTAAAAAGTAATAAATAAACTCATTATTTGAACAAAACAACTACAGATCGATTGCATTAAGAGTTGAAATATATTTAGCAAACATTCATTATAGGAGACAGTCTTTATTCAAATTAGCAACACAATTATACCACAACTATAATTCTTCAGAACAGAACAAATACAACTTAATATGTCTTAAAGGACAGATTATCATCAACAGTACTCAGTGTAAAAAAATCTTTAAACTATATTAACTTTTATTTCCTTTTCGGAGCATTCCTACAAGATCTTTTGTTATGCCATTCTAGTCCGCAGTTTCCACATAAAACCTTGTACTTCTTTGCATTTACTTCATCATATGATTTGTATCTTTATTTTTTAGGTCTCCCTGACTGCCTTTTCTTAGTAGGTGGCATTACAACTTCTTCAGCTATATGTTGTGGCACATTCCATTTGCTTTTATCAGGTAGCGGGTCTATTGGTATTTTATAAGTCTGTAGAAGTCTCTCCTTCGTGTAATAAGCAGAACAATAGTTTTCATATGACTTGTTCATGTGCCTCAAAGCAGCCAAAGCATGTGGACATGAAAATTCATCAAGTTGGAATTGTCCACAACTACATCTCTTGTTTTGAAGGCAAACAATGAAGCACTTCACACCATCTATCATAGCATGGACGTAATCTGTTGAAGCCCTCACCTACAATTTTATTATAAACACACAACAAGTTGTCAACAACATATACAAAATAAAATAACTACAATTATACACCAACATTTCTACAATTATCAGTATATATTTAGTTTGATGAAATCAATGATCTGATGTTATTGTCCATAACTTACTATCATCTTCTGCGATAATGTTATGTTGTCCTCCAACTCTTTGTTGTATTTTTTTCCAAGGTATGTGAACGTACCCTTTGCATTTAATAACTTTTCATTAGTCCAACGTTCAAGAAGAGTCCTCATATACTCTAATAGTTCTACTATGGGCAGCTCTCTTGTATATTTGATTACCGCATTCAATGACTCTGCAATGTTTGATATCATCGTCCATGTTTTGTTTACTGTAGCATGTACCCGAGACCATCCGTGATAGCCAATATCGTATAGGTATGCTTTAACACGTGTGTCGATCTCTTTAATCTTTGACATTCTTTCATTAAATTTATCATGTGTGTATGATCGTGTCATGGCAAAGTACAATTCACTTAATTTTAGATGACCTTTCTTGAACTTTGACCTTATATTTATCCAAATATGCCACATGCAAGCATAAATATGGTATGCCGGTATAAACAGTAGATGTTGCCTTCAATATACCCTCATCCCGGTCCGAAATAACACACATATTTTATTTTCACCATATGCATGTTTAAATTTCTCAAAAAACCATCTCCATGATGCGTCATTTTCTGAATCAACAATTGTGTATGCTAGTGATAATACACTACTTATCACATAGGTAGAAAAAATAAATTCAATTTTAGTAATAAAACTTGAAAATATAAAAAATACAGTCTCAAAAATAACTTTATAATAATTTTTTTTACAATTAATCTACATTACATACTGCATCCATTATGCTAGCTGTTAGCATGATTCCCCAATATGCTTACTTCAAGAAGATGCCATCGACTACTACAACTGGCCTACAATGCTCCCAACCCTTGATAGACGTACTAAGTGCAACAAATGCATACAAGAAACAGTCATCTTCAATCTTCTGTAATTTCACTACCGACCCGGGATAAGTCTTCTCCAGAATATACAAATAACTCGGCAAGTAGGAATTAGCAGGATGACCTCTCAAAAATTTCAAAGCCTTTTCCTTTGCTCCCCGGGCTTGCATGTATGTTAAGTTCGCACCATGATATGACATGTCAATTTGTATGTCTTTTGGTGTGTATATTGTCTTAGGATCCGCATATTTTGGCATCACCATGCTGCCAACTACCATGGCAGTAGGTTTGCGTTGTATATATGTGTTGTCCATCAAAGAGCATGTGTGCAAGTTGTTGAATTTTCGAACCTTGAACAATACTGATTCATTTATGCTTATGGACTTGAAGTGCTACGCACAATTGTCCCCAACACATACGAGGCAGTAGCTACAGCATAAAAATAATTCAAAAAATATTATGCAAATTGTAGCTACAGAATACGAGGTTGTTTATGCATAACAATTTATTTTAAACAATTTATATAAAAAAAGACTACAAGTTATACACAATATGAATTTGACAAATAAAATATTCCTATCTTCTTGTACTAGACCTTTTCACCCTAAATTGAAACTTATTTATGACAGGATAGTGCTTCATTACACTGACAATTGTTTGCTTGTCTTGGTAAACTTGGCCTACTTCAATTACATTTGACGTATGTTCTGTTATGATGATACATTCATATTCAACAATTGCCAGATATGTTTGCATATCAATCAACTTCACTATTCCTGATACTTCTCTAATTATGTTACAATTGCTTGACAATTGTACCACGTTAGTATTATGATAATCAAAAGGACCTACACTCAATTAAAAGTATAGTAATTCAGACCTCTGTATATTCATGTGTTCAGTATTTGACAGAATACTCTTAGACACATAACAATTGAACTACATTTGTTATGTAGTATTATTATAGATAATTTGTAGTAAAATTGTAGAATACTTGAAATTGAAAAAACATCAGCACTAGAAAAAATATAGCAAACCTGTAATTGTGTTCGCATTAGACATATTGCAATCCAAAAAATCACGCATTGTTATACATAACGGATACATTCCTAAATTTTTATTTTTATTTTTCGTCTCCATATACACTCGAACTCCCATATCGTTCCAAATTTCCATTAGAGGACAACGTTCGTTGATGGTGTATTTGATTTCGATAATTTTTGCAGAGGTATCGATCACTAGATGCTCAGTAATTACGGAATTCAATTTACTATAATTTGAATCTTCGTTGACTACAATTCTGTCAACATCAAAATCTTTGTATCACCCAACGCTATCCCACCGACCATTGAGCTGAAGTATAATCGCTAATTTTAACATTATGTGGCGAAATTCAATTCAATTGTAGCTAATTATTTGCAATTATTTTCTTCAAAACCTTTAATTATGGAAAACTAGAAAAAACAGAGAATATAAGGATACTACAGATATGTTGCTTTGATTATGGTGCGATGATAACTAGAGAAAATTTGCGTAATAGAAGAATTCTACAAATATGTTGCCTTGATTATGGTGCGATGATTGCGTCAGTAAAATCTCTAACTGAAATATAAGCGATCCCAAAATCCCGATCTAAGCGGGGACATTTTTGATAATAAAGTTTCAAATAGTGTATATAAATGAAAAAATATGAATCTTTTCATATATGGATCTTTTTATTCAACTTAAACCTAGCAAAATTATATACCTATATATTCTAATGAAATAATACCCATATATTTCATGAAAAAAATATAATGTATAAATATACATTATAAATCATGTATTCTTTAGGAAAAATCATGTATATATGCATATTTTATTTATACACTTATTTATATGTGTATATAAAGAAGAGTTCTTTCTTTATTCAAGGAAGGGTTCCAAACCTTTTATAAAGAAGGGGTATTCCTCTGATTCCTCTTAGGTGATGTCTGGACATATATATTATTAATATACCATTTATATTTTGCTCTAATTTAACGTGCATATTTGTATAAATTATCCGTAGATAAACAGTATATGTGGCAGACAAGAGTTGGTTGCTCTAGTGGTGAGCATCCTCCACTTCCAACCAAGAGGTTGTGAGTTCGAGTCATCCCAAGAGCAAGGTGGGGAGTTCTTGGAGGGAGAGAGTCGAGGGTCTATCGAAAACAACCTCTCTACCCCAGGGTATGGGTAAGGTCTTCGTACACACTACCCTTCCCAAACTCCACTAGTGGAATTATACTAGGTTGTTGTTGTTGTAAACAATATACGTGGCATATTTGTTTCCTATATACATTATTAGTGGCACGTTAATATTTAGATTCATTTTTATGTAACGTATATGCTAGCAATATACTTTGAATAATATCAATATAATAATAATATCACGGGTCATTTGTGTTTCAAATTAGTTATTACATAAGCACTTGTATTATTAATGGTATATATAAGAATGGGAGAATATATGGCGATTGACTAGGGGAAATCTACTTAAGAACAACTTGCTATATTTAAAATAGTTCATCATTCTCTCTCCACTTTACTTGTGTTGAAAATTATATTACGCTACTTTTAATTCAAATGAAATTGTTACCAAATATTAATTTATTCCAGCATGAAATTTTAACCTTCACATAATAGAATCTAATTTTTTAGCATAAATATATAGCAAAGAGAAGAGGAGAGAGAGTGACAATTAAGATTAATTCCCTGATTTATGCCTTCTCTTGACTAATTGATTACGCCCATAATCTTTATAACATGCTACTATTGTAAGATAATATGCTATTTATGGAATAAACAAGAAATGATATTATTTTTAAAAAGTGCTTAGCAGTGTAGTTTTCTCAACATAGAATTCACTAAGCTCAATCCTAGGCCCACCTTCTGTCAAATAATTTGTCAACCCAGCCCAGTAAAACAAAACATTCTTTCTCAAGAAAAACAAGGCCCTGAAAACTGGGCTACAGAAGCCCAAAGTAGCACCACCGTAACACTAAACCCTAGTAAAACACCATAGATTGAAGAAGAGAGTCAGGTTCGTAAACAAACCATCCACACAACCAAAGCTAAGCCTCGATTGCTGACCGCCGGTAGCCAATCCTCACTCCGCCATCATGGGTCGCATGCACAGTCGCGGGTTCGTCATTCTCTTCTCTTCTTTAAGCTCTTATAATCAGCAATTAATCTGCATTTTTTCTTTCTCTGACCATCAATTAATCTAACATTTTTGTTGTGGGTTTCAGTAAGGGTATTTCAGCTTCGGCTCTTCCTTACAAAAGAACTCCTCCTAGTTGGCTCAAGATCTCCGCTCCTGATGTAAAATCATCCACCTTTGTTTGTCACTTATAACTTCGTGTTATTTATGTGTCTAGAATATTTATATAAATATGCTTGATTTGTATGATTTCAGGTTGAGGATAACATTTGCAAGTTTGCAAAGAAAGGATTGACTCCTTCACAAATTGGTGTGATTCTTCGTGACTCACACGGAATTGCACAAGTCAAGAGTGTCACTGGCAGCAAGATCTTGCGTATCCTCAAGGCTCACGGTATTATTGTTATTATGTGTGTGTTTTTGGCTATGGGAATAATTGCTTAGATGAGTCTAGTTTTTGAGATATGAGTATTTTGTTTGGGCAAATGGATTTAGGGCTTGCTCCTGAGATACCAGAGGATCTGTACCACCTGATTAAGAAGGCAGTTGCTATTAGGAAGCATTTGGAGAGGAACAGAAAGGATAAGGATTCCAAGTTCCGCTTGATTTTGGTGGAGAGCAGAATCCATCGTCTTGCTCGCTATTACAAGAAAACAAAGAAGCTCCCACCTGTCTGGAAATAGTAAGCTTCTTTCCCTCTCTCTATCTCTTGCTTTACAATGTATGTGCTCTGCAAATAGTACTCTTTATTTGTTTCCATTAAGATTGTCAGATGATTTGGTTATCTGTTAACTTGTTTAAGTATTTGTGTTTTGGTTTATTCTTCTGGAAACAAATTCTTTTTGCAAAACTATTCTGAAACTTAGGTTCCTTCCTAATGATTGTCTTACTAGAGTTAGAGACCAGTTACTTTTATTCATCTGGAGCTATAGTTTTCTGTGAGATTTCCACAGTTGGATAAAAAACTGTAATGGACTTGCTCTTTCCATGGCTTCGACATGAAGGTGGTTCATATGCCGCTTATGCTTACTTGACTCAAGTGAATTGGTGGCCCCAAAAGAGGGGCAGTAGTTAGTAGTTGTTAATGTTAGAGTTTATCACATCGTTCGAGGGAATGAGTTGTTTTTATTCCTTATATGGTCTTGGGCAGTCATCATCTCATGAGTTAGCTTTTGGATGAGTTGGACTCAAGCTCCATGTTCTTTACATTATATTAAAGTCAGGTTCATCCTTATTCTTTGTATGCCCAATGTTTAGCTTCCATGTTGTACTGTCCACGTTTGAGCATG